AAAAAAAAAAAAAAAACCCGTGGAAAGCATTTGAAACCGTTTGGACCCGTCTTCTGCTGTCAGCGCCTCACTGTGACCACTAGATGATGGTGTCATGCAGCAGCAACTGATGAATGTTGATTTAGCTGTTCCTGTATCAAAACATTCAGCTCTTTCAGGAGATGGGTGCTATGAATTTATAAAATATTTAGTAAAATATAAAAACATTTTCTCAATGGAAATGCACTAAGAGCTTCGGCTCTGTTTCTATTTTCTTATGCTACTTTTAGCTATAAGTTTTTTAATACTTTTAGGTTTTAGTTATATTTATCTACCTTTGCTTTTACCTAACCTTTAGCTGTTTTAGCTAGCAGTTTGCTTCTAGTAGCTTGTACCTAACCTTTTGATACTTTTAGCTTCTAAGTACGTTTTTGCTATTTTTAGCTTTTAGCTAGTTTTCTGCTACATTAAGCTCTGAGCAAGCCTTAGACCGCTTTTAGCTAAAGTTGTGCTTCTTATGGCTTTTTGCTGTCCTTTTGATATTTTTAGCTTTTTAGGTAGCATTTTCTACCTTTCTCTTTTAGCTAATCTTTAGCTGCTTTTAAATGCCTTTTGTTACATGTAGCATTGAGCTAGCCTGTTGTTACATTTAGCTTCTAACTGCCCTTCTGCCTCTTTCAACTAGCATATTGCTTCATTTAGCTCTTAGTTAGCATTCTACTGCTTTTAGCTAAAGTTTGTCTACTTTTAGCCTTTAGCTGGCCTTTTTCATCTTTTACTTTTATCTTTTTCTGATTTTAGTTTTAAGATAGTATTTTACTACATGTAGCTTTCAGCTAGCCTGTTGTCATTTTTAGCTAGCATTTTGTTACTTTTGGCTTTTGAGCTAATTTTATTACGACTTAGCTTTTAACACCCGTTCTACTACTTTTAGCTAGCAATTTGCTTATGTTTAAAAAGTACCTAGCCTTGCGCTACATTTACTTTTGAGATAGCCTTTTGCTACATTTAGGTTTGAGCTAGCGTTTTACTGCTTTTAATTTATAGCTTAAGTTCTGCAACTTTTGGCTTTAAGCTGGCTTTTTGACGTTTTTAGCTTTTAGCTATCTTTTTTACAACTTTTAACTTTTAGCTAACCTATTACTGCTTTTAAATAGCTCTTTTATACATGTAGCTTTGAGCTAGCTTGTTGTTACTTAAAGCTACCATTTCTTGCTTTGAGCTAACCTAATTGCTACTTAGCTTAGCTTAGTTTTTAGCACTCATTTAGTTTGCTACATTTAAACTGCAGCTACTTTGTGCTACAGTTACATTTGAGCTAGGCTTTTGCTAGTTTTAGCTATTGCTTTACAACCTTTAGATTGCAGATAGCTTTGTGCTACATTTAGCTCTGAGCTATCTTTTTGCTACTAAAATATAAAACCTATCTGCTCAGATCTGAATGTAGAGTTATTGATGGCTGCTGATACTGAAATGCTCTTTTTATCAAATCAGTTTTGGAAACTCAGATGAGCCGAGAGGTCAGGCGTGTTTCCTCCTTCCTGTATCTGTGGAAACAACCAGCGAGCACAGCTTCTGTCTTTTCTGCACCTCCTCGAGATATTTATACCAAGATTCACAAAAAGTGTTATCACATTTTATGAACTATAATAAGACACAACAACCCGGAGAGAGGGGCTGAAGCTCTGTGAAGCAAAGCCAGGTTAGACGTGGGGAGGGATGGTAACCGTCCCAATTAGACGGCTGGAGAAAAGAGTTGTGCTTTTTACGCAGCAGCTCCCGTCAAATCAACCGCCCCCGGCTCAGCAGGGAAAAAGCAGCTCAAAATGGATTTGCTCCTTTTATCAAGCCCTCCATGACACTTAGTTAAGACTCCTTTGCCTCCATCCCGCCGCTGAAATGTGCCACTTTGAGCTGGAGCCCCACTTACATTATTAAGAGTGAAAGTTTCAAGGAGTCGGAAGAAAGCTGGAACAATGTGTTGGAGGAAATTACGTCATCACAGTGTTGACTTTTTCCAAAAGTTAGACGGCATCAAGAGATTTTTTTTTCTTCTTCTTTCCTCCCTGAACTTATTTTCTTCTTCATCTTTTGTTTTCTTTGTTGTTTTTGCAAGAGGCTGAGTTTAAAGCGTTCCTCACCGAGGTCCCTGAGGGAGTATTTTCATCGGCTGCTCAATTTTTCCAAATTTTACAAGGAAAGGAAGATTTGAGAACGCAGCCGACAACATTATCCTGGCAGCAGTTTGTGCCTTCTAGCAACTGAGACGTTCAGAAAGGAGAGAGATGAACATGGTTTCAGTACAGTAATTCYCCGGAGCAGATTTAACGCGTTGATTAGTTTGTGCAGTAACGACTTCTGTCACAGTTCTTATTATGTTCATGGTGACAGGTTGACATAACGAGAAGGAAGTGTGTGATCAATTGGAWAACACTCACAAAGCAACAACCTGAGTTATTTCATCTTCTAGGCAGGGGCGGAGCTAGACCTTTTTGCAAGGGGTGGCCAAGGTGTTTTTTTAGGGGGGCACATACAAAAAAAGAAAAATTAAGATGGCCACCACAGCTAATTAAAAATGACTTTAATTCATCTGTTTAAAAAAAAGTTGAGTTGAAATTTCTGTAATCATAACTAAGAATGATAAAAAACATGCTGAATGCTAGTCATTACTTATTCACCATTTTTAGACATAAAGCTGAAGATTCGTTTAGAAGTAGCCAATTTTTTTTACCAAATTAATTCTAATCAAAAATTCTAAAAGACCGATACAGCTAAATTTAAAAGGCTATATTTCATCAATTTTTAGATGTACTGAGGTTAAATTTGTTGTGGAATAGCTAAGAATGATCACATGCCAAATGCTGATGCTAATCCTAAATTAAGCTAACCTCTTATGCTAATGCTCATTTCACAAAGGCTGTGTCCAAAACGACAGGCCGGGTCCTCCGGAGGACCCAGACTCCCCGGTCTCGGCGGGCCGGGTCCTTGATAGACCGGGAAGACCGGAAAAAAAGAGGCTGTGAATTTGGACGGTCTAGCCTCCCCTCCTTACCCCGGCGTACGTCTTGTCAACTTAAATCAAAACTAGAAAAATATCAATACATTAGCATTATTAATATCACAAAACTATAAAATTAACTTAAAAGTATCATTTGAAGAACTAATTGACCCGCTGTAGGTTCATGTTTATTTCGCGTTTTTTTAAGACAAAAATAATATGTAAAAACATGTCCATACAAATGATAAAAGTATTCGAATTACAACCGCTAATTTTTTTAATTTTTATATCACCATATTTTTATTTAAAATGTATTCTTTTCTCTCGCTTCGTCCGCCATTACTAGCATAAAAAAATCTCCGGTCGGGCTGCAATGCATTATGGGATACGCTGGGCCGGGAAGGATCCATCAGACCTGTCCTTCGATTCAGGCCAAAGGAAGGACGTATTTGTCGGCCGCATCAGAGGAGTCTTCGGTTTTGGATGTCCTTCGTCGCGGCGCTGTGACGTATGCGGCCGACGAATTCGACCTTCGGAGGACCCGTCCTGCTGTTTTGGACACAGCCAAAGTGCTATAATTCAGCCATTTTTAGACAATCTGAGGTTGGATTTTTTTTGTGGAGTAACTAAGAATGATGATGTGCCGATTGCCGATGCTAATCCCAAATTAAGCTAACCTCTTATGCTAATGCTAACTTTACAATGGGCTATAAATAATTCAGCTATTTTTAGACTTTCTGTGGTTGAATTTGTTGTGGAGTAGCTAAGAATGATCACATGCTAATCCCAAATTAAGCTAACCTCTTATGCTACTGCTAAATTTACAGAGGGCTATAAATTCAGCCATTTTTAAACATACACAGCTGAAAATTTATGCAGTACAGTAATGACAGAGAACAATCTTTAATGAAATCTAAATGCAAATACACACTCCAAGATTCCCACCTACTTGTCAAATATTTGCGGGRGGCACCTGGGGTGGCCAACCAGGTGCCAGAGGTGGCACTTGCCTCSCCGGCCACCCCTCTGGCTCCACCCCTGCTTACAGGTTCAGATGAAATTTAGCAAAAACTCAATAAATATTTACTATAATTAAGCTGCAGAATCATCTTAGGTGTTTGGACTGTTTGCAAGACTGAAAATGAAAAATGTGGTTTTGCTGTTTTTCTCCCAACCAGCCAACTGTATCCAGAGGATGAGAAGAACGCCGCCACTGGATGAGCTTCAGCCGCCTCCCTATCAGGATGAGAATGGTTCTCCGAGGATGTCGTGCACTCTGTCGGACCTCGGAGACGCCAAGTGCGACCTGTCCCAGACCAGTGGAAGTCCGCACCTTTCTTTTGAAAAGTGTCCGAGCGAGGGCAGRGATGGTCAAGAGACGGAGAGTTACCTCAACAAAGGCTATGAGGAGGACGTTCCCAGCGACAGCACGGCTGTGCTCAGCCCAGAGGTAAATACAGTACAAGTGTTCGCTGAGCGTTTGTGTCAGAGGGTMAACGTCTCACTGGTTTCTTCAGGTCATGTCCGCTCGTGGCTCTGCGGTGCGGCTCCCTAAGGGTTACGAACCGGACCCCYTTGCGAAATACGGCACCCTGGACGTGGTGTTCGACTACGACTCGGAGGAGCAGCGGCTGACCCTGACCATCATGGCGGTGACCGATCTGCCCTCCATCAAACGCACCGGGAACATTTCCTGGCAGGTCCACCTGGTGCTCCTGCCCACCAAGAAGCAGAGGGCGAAGACGGGCATCCAGCGAGGCCCGTGCCCCGTCTTCACCGAGACCTTTCACTTCAGCCACGTGGAGTCGGAGATGATCAGCAATTATGCCGTGCGGTTCCGTCTTTACAGCATGCGACGGATGAAGAAGGAGAAGGTGTTTGGAGAAAAGGTGTTCTACCTCACCAAGCTCAACCTTCAGGGCAAAATGTCTGTGCCGGTCATATTGGACCCGTGCTGTGCGCTCCCGGTAAGGAGGATCAAACAAACACTCACTAATTGCTCCTCTTTGTTGCCTGATCTTTTATGTGAGTGCATAACATCTGCAGATTAGGGATTATGAAACTTGATAAACAGCCTTTTAAAATAAAATAATACGAATAGATTCTAAAAGATTTTTCTTTATAAATGTAGTTACTTGCATTTTTATTTATTTACAGTATCTTTGAGCAGTGGGAACAGARGAGGATAAATATTTAATGTCACACGATAAATAATCGATGCTGCAGTTAAGGATTTCTGCATGTTTGTAAAAACCATTTTCAGGGCGGTGAATCCCAGGTCAGCCTGTCTGATAGGACGTGCAGCGAAAGCGCCTCGTCCTTCCAGTCCGTCAGTCAGACCTCCACGCCGGAGATCCTGGTGGGCCTGATTTACAACGCCACGACCGGCCGCCTCTCTGTGGAGGTCATTAAGGGCATCCACTTCAAAAACCTGGCWGCCAACAAGCCACCCAGTAAGTTCCCTAAGTGTTCTTTGATTAGAATGAGGACGTTTCTGATTTGGGGCAGCGGTTAGAGCTGTTAGCGAGAATGTCGCAGGATCAACTCCCAGATCAACATGAGTTCAGTTTCCTCCCACAACCCAAAGACATGCATGTCAGGTTCATTGATAACTCTGGATTAGCTCTAGGTAAAGATAATGAATGGATGTGTTTAAGCAGGGGCGGAGCCAGAGGGAGTGGCCTGGGTGGCAAGTGCCAACCCTGGCACCTGTTTGGCCACCCCAGGTGCCACCTCTAAATAACTGATAAGTGGGTGGGGAATCTTGGTTTTTGTTAAAGTTTGTTCTCTGACCCTACTACTGTTTTAATCTCAATCTCTTAAACTAGCTGAATTATAGCCATTTAAAGTTAGCTGTGGTGGCCATCTTGAAATTTTGTTTAGCAGTTAGATTGTTTTCAGCRACTTCTACACTAATCTTTTGCTTTGCATGTCTAAAATTGACTGAATAATATAGCATTATTAGCATTCGGCATGTTTTTTGGCGTATTCTTAGATCACACAAAATTTCAGCTCAATATTTCTCAAAACAGCTAAATTAAAACCATTTGGAATTAGCTGTGGGTGGCATTTTGAATTTTCAAATCCAAATTGCATTTCTTTATTTGTATGTGCCACCCCTGCGCCACCCCATGCAGAAAAGTCTAGCTCCGCCCCTGTGTATAGGAGGTCATATTTATGCAGAAAAGAGGACTAATTAATCCTAAATCAGCTAGCTGCCTTTGAGTTCAGCCKCTCGTTTTCCTTCATCTTCCTGCTCGGCTTCCAGGAGTCGAAGCAACGAGTTCAAATAAAAACCCTCCTGTTGAACTTTGTGCAAGCAAGTTGTTTTTTGGCTTTCTGACCCCGTTTCTTATTTCCTCAAATCTTTTTATGTTTTTGTCATGTCTGCATCTGAATTGCTCTGGCCCTACTACTTTTTTGATGTCTTGGTCCATTGTTTTTCTTACTGCTGTCCAACCCTTGTTGTCAGACGGGCTGTTCTGTTGTCTAAAACACTTAATAGGTGGACAGGTTTATATAATCAGAGGTGAGTCTTTGCTCCTGAAGCCACATTCTGTCCGTGGTGAACTCTGGACCTGTGAATACTTCTTCATGGATGCAGTTCACAAAACTATTTCATGCATTAAATGTCAATTACAAACATAAAAGAAGTGAAGCAACATGTGCATCTCATTTTGAAGCAGACCACCACCTGCTGCCAGCGATCTGTTTTGATGTTTTTAATGAAAACAAGTGTGCAAAATTAAAAAAAGAGTTTAAGATTGCCCTTTCCCTGCTTATTTTTAAAATATTTTTTTGGCTTATTTAATGGAAATTTGTTTAAGAAAAGGGGTTAAAATGTTACGTTAAAACGTAACATTGAAGCARGTAATGGTTAAATGAATTTTTTGGCAAAAAAACAACCTTCAAAAAAGTTTGTATTTTTGTTAGCTGATGCTCAACACAGATTAGCATAATGTCATATGGTGGTTGAATAAATGCTGGTTTAAGTGTTTATTAGTTAAACCGGAGGATAAAGATGTATAAATAAAAGGTTTGAAATATGTTTTTGCACCAGTCTCAACAAGATGTCAAACTTATTGAAGTAAATTCTGAACTAAATGTTTTAAAATCAAGTTGTTCAAACTGGGTCGTATTAAAGTCCAATTGGTAATTTAAATAAAATCACTGATAAATCTCATCCATGAAGAAGTTTGCTTGTGGTAAACCTTATAGCTTCACGCTGAACATGTATGTTTTTTCATGCATGTCGCCCTCGCCTCCTTCACCTCTCGTCTCTGTGTTCGTGACGCTTTCAGGTTTTTAATCTCAGGAACAACATATTCATGCTGAATCACTGCTCGGTCGCTGATGGACAGCCTAAAAGGACCGTTGTGTGTCATTAAGTGCTGGCTTCGCTCAAACAGCACACTTTGGCATGTTTTTTTTTTTGTCACATTTTTCAGCTCTGCTTCCAGCTCACGAAAKAGAAAAAAAAGTCTTGTGTAATAGGGCACGCTCACTGTCTTCATTTATTGCCGTGTTACTTGTATTCACAAACTAATAACTAGCTGCCAGATTTTTGTTTGTGCATTTCTGAAAAGCGTTTCCACGTAGTCCTCAAATTGTACCCAGAAAATAGTCACATCTGGGTACYCTGAAAAAAACCTTTGTGCAAAAATACTCACGCAGGTCTTGATTGACTTTCACAAAGTAGGGGTGGTGGTGGTGGTAAAAAAAAGCGAGGCGCGCAGCACTTTCAGAGCTCCTTTTCTATCATTTCAAAACAGTAGCGAGCCGACGAGTCGAGTCAATCATCAGAAGCAGCCCCTCTCATTCAACAACAATAGCAAAGAGCCCTGCATCACCGCTACTGACCACTTAAGACATCCACGGCTCCACGGAGCCCATTCAGCAGCAGTCAAAAAAGAAATCAAGGCTATTTTTTTCACTCTGCTTTTTATGTCAAAGAGAGCAACTGAATGTGCGATTCGAGACGTTTGGAAAGCAGCTGGCACTCGACAGCATGAAAGCCTCGGCAKTTCATTCCGTACCCTCCCTCTCAGACGGGAACATAATGTGCGGCGTTATTGCGGAGTGCGGTTGTAGACGAGGGGCGAAACACTCTCATTGTGATTGCCTCTTTTTCCTTTCAGCTCGGTTTACGGCTTCGGCTTGTGTCATGATTTCTGCATGGAAATAAGGGGTGGAAAAAAGGAAACGGCAAATGCAGAAATCGCTCTGAAACTCTGTTTTTAAAGGACTAAAAAAATGTGCTTATAGTTTAGGAACTATACGGCGTTAAATCTATAGTTTACTATATCTGAATTCTGGATATTTATTTTTATCAGTTAGCTTTCAGTATTTAGAGTGAGCATCCTTTGCCTTCAAACAGCATCAGTTCTTTGTTGAAGGATCTTCTGACTCAGATCCTCCTGTCTCCTAATCTCAGAAACACAAACAGAAAATCTGTGTGGGCCCGACCACCGCTTCTCGGACTCCTTGTTCTTCGTTAAGCTTCTGCAAATAGTTCCTGTGTGTTTGGGAGAGACCTGCCTGATGTGTGTTTTCCTGGTTTTTGACCACAATCTCTTTGTAGCAGAATTGGTCCAAGTTTGAAACCTCTTATGTTTCACTCTCTTTGAAAATTATCATAAACATCTTGTTGATATAACTAAATATTCATTCATTTGACTATAATCCTGATAAACCTGACTTTACAAAAGTTTTACTTTGTGCTGTTTTGAAGACAAAGGAGTTTCTTCTGTTTTCCAAACCTGCCTCAYTCTTTAGCACTGTACATGGTATACATCAGTAGTGGGCTAATCCGCCAATAACGGAACTAGCTTCTCATTTAGTGGATTAGCTTTTTTTTTCTGACTTTGGAAACCGTTAGCCGACCAATAAGCTTCTGCTAAATTAATTTCGTGTAGACATGTAGACATGTGAGGCACTTTGTGTAGCGTGTAGCATTTTAAACAGCTACATTTCAAAGTAAGAGCTTCAAGACATAAAATAATGTCAGTGGCCTCGTTTTTATTTATTTATTTATTTAGCCTTAAGCATTACTATTGTTTGGTGCGTAGTGTGGTGTTTTCTATTTTCTATTTTATTTTTTCCTCTCTCCCCGCCACTTCCTGGCACTTATATTTATCCCCCACGCCTCATTGATAGTGTCCAATAATAAGGGTCCAATAATTAGTGATAGGGTTGGGCATAATCGTATCGTGTGTGATTAATCATCAGAAAAACATTATCGATTAATTTTTGGCACTTGACAATTAATACGATTAATGCCAACAGGTAGAATCCGCTCACTGCTCCTCTCCGCTTCAAATATGACGAACATTAAAAAAAGTTCTGTAATTTATTTATCTATCAACACAATTTAAAATTTGATGTATAGCCTTAAGTCTGTAATTTTGACACAGTTTGGAACAGATTTTTATGAAGAGCAAATCTTTCCCACTAAATTGGTCATGTGACTATGAAATAAGGGTGTACAGGGACTTCAGGGGATTAATCGTCAAATTAATCGTTATTGGCTAAATACCACAATTAATCCTGATCTATTTTTTTGCCAATATTGCCCAACCCTAATTAGTGAGGATCTAGTCCATCTGAGCTGAGTAAGTCTGTTGCACATGAAAATAAAAATAAAAGCCACATACACAGCACAGAATACACCTAGCAATGAAAACACAAATAAAAATAGAAAATAGAAAACACCACTCTACACACCAAACAATACTAATGCTTAAGGCTAAATAAATWAATTAATTAATTAATAAAAACTAGGCCACTGACACTAACGTTTAACAATATTTAAATAACAAAAATTACAAAAACTGACTACGTATTAAATATGCTAGTGAAAGTATTTGCTGTTTGTTGTTCGAATTAAAATACAAACTCGATCAAAGAAATGCTTTTATTCTGAAAGGAATGAACTGGAAGGTTTGGATTGGCCGATTTGCCACAGATGATCCCGCCCACCTTCAAATTAAACCWATAGAAAACTAACAGGTTTGTGTCAGTCTCACTTGTCTTCAACTGGAAGGGGATGAAAACTGAAAGTCTTCTTAGCYGTTAGCATTAGCTTCCGCTATTTGAAAAAGATCTTTAGCAGTTTAATGTTAGCGAAGCTAAAATTCGTGTTTAGCAAATTAGTGGTTAGTGAAGCTAACTTTTTGTTTAGCTGTGTATACTATAATTAGTTTATTCATGCTTCACCTTATTCATACGAGTTGCGTTGYTTCCAGGATTTGTGATGTTTATTCTGGGTGGAGCATATATTTTTTGGGACACTGAAAATCTTTGCTGGAGTCGTGACACCGGCTCTCTGTCAAAGTCAGAGAGAATTATAGCATCTCCTTGAGGTATTTCCTGAATCAATTAACTTGGGCTGCATGTTCTGTTTCAGCGGAGGCTCCTCTTCTTCTAACTGCAAACAGATGCATCACTAACCGCAGAAACTCTTGTTTTTATCTTTAACATCGTCTCCCACTCCAGGTTAGACACACGGCAGTTGCGTAGCAACAAGAGTAAAGTTAACGCTTCGTGCATCCTTTTTGAGTTCTTGCTCTCGGTTATTGTTACTCGCAGCTGTGCTTTGTGTTTGATCTGGAGAAGAAATGAAAAAAAAGGCATCCTATGTGGTCATAATCTTATACCTAATCTGCTGTGACATTTCAGGAGCAAGTGCTTCGTGAGGAAAATGGGTCAGACTTTGCTGCAGAGGAAACAGCTGCAGCAGGTTTTAATGTTTCAATTCAAACTGAAAAGATTTACTGTGAGGATTTTGCACAAAGGATCCATTACTTCATGAAAGTACTACTAGTACTACTAATATAAAGATTTAAACCACCGATGTATTTTCCTCTGATTTTCTGAACCTGCTTCTCGTTCAGATACGTACGTCAAGCTGACCCTGCTGAACTCCATGGGGCACGAAATGTCCAAGTGCAAGACGTCCATCTGTCGAGGTCAGCCCAACCCGACCTACAAAGAGACTTTTGTCTTCCAGGTGGCTCTTTTCCAGCTCTCTGATGTCACGCTCATCCTCTCTGTCTACAACAAGCGCAGCATGAAGCGCAAGGAGATGATCGGCTGGATTTCCCTGGGCCTGAACAGCTCCGGGGAGGAGGAGCTCACCCACTGGACTCAGATGAAGGAGTCCAAAGGACAGCAGGTCTGCCGCTGGCACAGTCTGCTGGAGTCCTAACGGAGGAGGGGTGAAAAGATGAACCAGAGGAGATCAGCTGGGAARGAACCGGACGTCTCATTCCACGACAGCGTGGGGTAAAATCACCACCAACAGAGAGGGATTAATAATCCTGTCCTTTCTGTAATCCATTGATCTTTAGGTTTCCATATATGGCACTTCCTGTTGAATCATGCTGGAAAATATGAGCACCAACACCTCCCGCTCTAACAACCAACACCAGAATTACTCAAATTCTTGTTAATCAAGAAATTAACAATATCCACTGTCACAGGTCTCAACAATCCATTTTTCTAAAAAAAAAAACTTGCAATTTTCTTCCCGTAAACTCCCCAAAAAAATGTTGCAACATTTCCAATCAGCTGAAGGCTGTACCCAGTGGTGGACCAAGTACTCAACTCTAGTACTCGAGTAAACATATTGCTAGTCAGGGTCAAATCTACTCAAATACAAGTAAAAGTTACTCTGTCAAAAATCTACTCAAGTTAAAGTACTGAAGTACTTACTTTTTAAAATACTTAAGTATTCAAAAGTACATGCATTTAAAAATACTTAAGTATTCAAAATTACAAATTAAATTTAATAGTACATTGCTGCATTGTTTTCAGAGTGATTTTACAGAACCTGGTAACTCTCAGAAAACACCTGATGTATCGACACATAGAACCACTCTGATACAAATACACAACCTGTAAAGACTTCAGCATAAATTAACAATAAAATGAGCGGTGAGTTCTTAAATGCAGAAATGTAGTTTATCTGCAGTGAACCCATAAGACGTTTAAACTGATAGGAACTATTTTTTCAGTCCTAAAATCTCAAACATGGAGCTGAGATTTGGTCATGAGTGCACTGGTTTCTCTGCTCGCTTCAACGGTCTCCACTGAAATGAAGGTGGAGCTCAGCTCATCCRGTTAATGAAGATGATGTAATAATTACTCAAGTAAAGTAAAGATACTCAAAAAATGTACTTAACCTCTTAAGCTCCAAGCGGTTTTCTTGTTTTTGCTCAAAACACCACTGAGTGTYTCTCAGCATTTACAAACTCTACTTAAATAATCTTGGTGTCAAAATAAAGCTAACACTTGGCATATTTTATTAGAAGTGTAATTATTAAAACAGCCATTGTGGTTTTAGAGACACAAGGGATGGAACGTAATATTTTAATTTTTTTTCATTCGACAATATACAGTATATAACCCATTTAAAACCATAACTAAGTAGGTTACAAACTCTTGGAAACCATTAATCCACTTGTGGGCATCCAAACATTTTCTTGTCACCATATACACTCACCGGCCACTTTTTTAGGTACACCACGCTAGTAACGGTTTTGTGGTCATAAAGGGATGGACATGGTCAGCAACAATACTCAGGTAGGCTGTGGCGTTGCAACGATGCTCAATTGGTACCAAGGGGCCCAAAGAGTGCCAAGAAAAGATTCCCCACACCATGACACCACCACCACCAGCCTGAACCGTTGATACAAGGCAGGATGGATCCATGCTTTCATGTTGTTGACGCCAAATTCTGACCCTACCATCCGAATGTCGCAGCAGAAATSGAGACTCATCAGACCAGGCAACGTTTTTCCAATCTTCTCTTGTCCAATTTCGATGAGCTTGTGCAAAMTGTAGCCTCAGTTTCCTGTTCTTAGCTGAAAGGAGTGGCACCCGGTGTGGTCTTCTGCTGCTGAAGCCCATCTGCCTCAAAGTTCGACGTACTGTGCGTTCAGAGATGCTCTTCTGCCTACCTTGGTTGTAACGGGTGGTTATTTGAGTCACTGTTGCCTTTCTATCAGCTCGAACCAGTCTGCRCATTCTCCTCTGACCTCTGGCATCAACAAGGCATTTCCGCCCACAGGACTGCCGCTCACTGGATGTTTTTTCTTTTTCGGACCATTCTCTGTAAACCCTAGAGATGGTTGTGCGTGAAAATCCCAGTAGATCAGCAGTTTCTGAAATACTCAGACCAGCCCTTCTGGCACCAACAACCATGCCACGTTCAAAGGCACTCAAATCACCTTTCTTCCCCATACTGATGCTCGGTTTGAACTGCAGGAGATTGTCTTGACCATGTCTACATGCCTYAATGCACTGAGTTGCCGCCATGTGATTGGCTGATTAGAAATTAAGTGTTAACGAGCAGTTGGGCAGGTGTACCTAATAAAGTGGCCGGTGAGTGTATATATTATATAAAATAATGAGAAAATATATTTGACTTCAGTTGGATCATATTCACCCAAAATCAAGTGGAAAAAAAACCTTTCAACACATTTTACAACATATTTAGGTATCTACTTTAACTTACTTTAAAAAAATAACGTCAGATTTTTCCTTTACAGATCTGCAATGATGCCATTTTCTACAGTTTTTTTACTTTCTGATTCAACTGCTTGACATTTAAATTGTGTTTGGTGGATGGAAAAATGGCCACGATTCTTAGGTTTCTTTTGATACCAAACATGTCCAGTTTCAACTTACAGATCCAAAGTTAAAAGAAGTAAAAAATGGAAAAAGCTGTTTGGGGCTCAATTAAGTACAGTTCTCAAGTAAATGTACTCCATTACTGTTCACCACTGGCTGTACATCATCTCTCATATATTCCCATTGGRGATTTTAAAATTCGACATCTTAAAGCTGCTTCGAACATAAATAAAAACTTGTTACAGTTTAAATAAGAGTTGGGTTCATCGGGACAATTCTGAGGAAAAGTAAAAGCAACTATCTGGAGCTGTGTGTGCAGAACGGTTCATGAAGTTTGAATCAGGTCAAAAACACAGAAAACACAGCCTCTGTTCAGGATAAAATCTAATTATTTAAATTACAGATGTAAATTAGCCTTAGGCTAAATCTAGTGCAATGCATCAAATTATGTTTTAATTGCACGCTGTCCCGGACAAATAAAATCATTTATTCATTCAATTTATTTTCCATCACAAGACTCCAGACTGGTTTCGACACATGCAGGACTTTGTAAAGATGGCAGGAAGTAAGAAGAAAAGAGTTGTTTTAATTTCAGAGTGATGGTTTTGTTACGATTTAAAATCTGCTGCACAAGACCGTTTTCGAGGAAACTGAAGACTTTTTCCTGGATAATAATGATTAAATCTCAGTTAACAGGTGAGAACAAACAACACCTTTTACCTGCTCTGGTGCTATAAACCAGCTGCGGCTGCACACAGGAGCCTTTGCCTTACGATTGTGGTAAATTCATACACAAACACGCTCTGAGAGCACATCCTGACAGACAGAAAGCACCATTTTAAACCTCAGCGTCGGGGGAAACAGGAGGTCCGGTTTGATAAAAGAATCGATCTCATTCGTTAACTTTCAGAACGTCTGCAGACGAACAAGTTGCACCTTTAACTTTAGCCACTTTTTTTTATTTACCGACCAGAGAAAATCCACTTTATTGTGCCTGTGGTTGTGCAGTGTTTACAAAGTGTGTGTGGGTGTGTGTATGTGGGGGGGATGCTCTCAGATGGGTAGTTGTTGCCTTTTTCTGTTGGCTGTGAACATTTCTGACTCAATTAGAACGAACTTTTTAACTGTCTGGCTTATCCTTTATATTAGTAAATGTTTCTTATATATTTTTGTATCAACAATGAGGTTGTTGTTATTTAATCAAACGTTAACTCACTCTGAGCAACAGAACAAGTGAAAAATTGGATTCAAAATGTCTTATTTTAAGCCTGTTTGATTGTTAAAAATATTTTCTTGTTTTTTTTCTTTTATGTCAAAAATCAGAAACAAACAAGTCAAATTATCAGCTTAATCTTTTACACGTTTCAATAAAAAGCTGTTGTTTCGACGTTGATTATCTTAAGTTAAGAATCTCACAGTCCTAATTTGTACTTTTTATTTATTTTACTGGATGAACTACCTGTGTCCGAGGCGGCATCGGTGCCTTACTGTTTTTGTCGCAGCGTCTTAACGTTCCTGTAAATGTACTCTTGTTTTCTTCTGTACATAAGATTTGATTTGTAAAAAGTATTTCAGATTTATTTACAATAGAACACGTTTATATGTGATGATGGTATTGTTTAAAATAATAAAAAATAGGAAAATTACTTGTGTTTGAGCAGTTCTTTTTAAAGTCCCCGTGACATGCCTAGCCATCGAATACAAAAAGTCAATGAAAACACATTTTTTTATAAGAAACCTTGCATAAAACATGATTTTTACCCATTTGGTCACATTAATGGCATATTTTCTTTTGAATTTGGCTCAGCCAAAGTGAAACAGGAAGTGACATCAAAGGGGAACTATTTAAGAAAGAGAACTCTCTAGTCTTTGTTTATTAAAATTATATTATTTGAACWCTGACTCGTCTTCATCGCTCTTTGATAGAGACTCAAAATAATCTAAAGAACATCAGATTCCTCTCTGCACTCATGCAGACATTCCCCTTTGACATCACTTCCTGTACTTCAAATACAAATATCTCAATAACTGTTCATCTCATTGGGAGGAAATTGTTTTTGCAATATGTTATTAATGTTATCTTTCCAATGATGCCTTTATATAAAAAAAATTCATGTCACAGGCAATTTAACGTCTCCATTTTATTATTATTATTTTGTAGTGGCACAAAACAACCAACAGGCGGAGCAAATATTTTATTTAGCAGTGTTTAACCCTGCTGCTGCCTTATTTTGACCCAACTTTTATCTATTAGTGTATTTCAGAAAGTGGTTGAGTTGTTTAAAGAGTTTAATAAACATCTGAAACTGTTTTATCAGTTGATCTATTAAACTATCTGTCCCTGCTTCCTGGAGTTTTATCACTCTCTGACACAAAAGGTTAAACTTAGTTCTGGAAAATATGGATTTAAAATCAAAATTCTTAGAATAAAGTCTCTTCTAAACATCTGGACAAACGTGTTTTCGAAGGACAAATGTTGGAAAATAAGATTTAGTGGCTCTGCAGTGGAATCAAAGAGGAAATGAAGAACAGATGAGGGGAGACCTGCTGGTTCCCTTCTCTTCTTTTTGGGTCACATCATTTCAAAATAAAACCTCTCCAGGAAAAAAAAAAGTCCAATTCTCTTTAGGGTCTGTTGTACGGTAGAACTGATTTAGATTCAATAAAACAGGACCTCATTAAAAACATCTTATGTGAGGATGTTTACAGGCAAACATTTCTGGGTAATTAAAAAAACTGTGTTGGAATCAAAGCATTATTCTGGCCCCTTTAATGTAACTCGTTTAATTCAGTTTCTGTTGAAACAACCTGTTAGATTTTACAGTGCAAAAACTTAAATTTTATAATTTACAACTAGATTTTATCATCTTGTCTCTCAGTCTTAGTCTGTAAATGAGTCTTTTCGCTGAAGGAAAACACTTTAATATTTAAAATTTTAATCCAAATCTATTTTTTGCCTTTAAAATCGTAGCTGATCATTGACACCTGTGCGCAGAGGAGAGAAATCCGAGCTGTCTTTGAACGRCTCAGCGGCAGGAGGAGGAGCAAAGCTCGGCTTGTTTTCTGCAGCCGTCAGTCCGACACGGTGAGCTCCTCCGGGACCGTCTGAGCGGGAAGAACTGGTCTTTGCAGATGAAAAACGGAGCTAAAAGAGCCTTAGGATTTAAAAAAAGGGAATAAATAAACAAATAAATAAAGACATTTGAAGCGCGTGAAGATGCTTAAAGCGGGAACAGATCCAATGGTTGATCAGCTGCTAGTCGTTTAATATTTACCTGAGTTTGATCTTGAAAACAGCGTGAATTTACTTTATTAGTTTCATTTATTATTTTTAACGCATCTTGGATTCGAGCCGAAACCACAAACTGTGGATCCAGAAGACTGAAGAGTTGAAACCAGGTAAGATTTGATTGAAAATATCTGAATATTTGAGTTTATTTTTTAAATTGCTAATAAAAGTAACAATAAGGCGTTTAAAATCGTTTTTTAGAATTTGAGATTTCAGCGGGAGAGTCTGTCGCTTCACAGACTGCATTTAATGAGAGGCAAACTGAAAAATAAGCCTCAAATAAACAGTTCCTGTGAGAAAACCAGAAGTCAAATAAAAAATAAAATAAAATTCTTGAACCGTCAGCAGTGACTGAGTCTTGATGTCATGCATGTGAATTTTTATGTTTGTATGATACTTCATAGGAAATAAAGAGATTAAGCATTAAACCATCAGAACTGTGGAAGCTTGGGTGTGCGCTTTTTGCAATTTTTTAGGAGATTTTTAAAGAAAAGTAAGTTTTATACTYACTAAAACAATCTGGGTGAAAGAAGACAAAAATCTCTATGGTTTGATGTATAAATCAGTGTTTCCCAAAGTTGGGGTCGGGACCCAAAGTGGGGTCCCGAAACATCAAGGTGGGGTCCTGAAAAGCTTTTAGGAATTAATTAAATTTTTGCCTTATTTGTTACAAAGGAATGAGGTTAGTATATTTAAAACGGATAAATGTAATATAAAAATATTGTTACTATGCCCATGTTTTGTTGACCTGATACAAAATCATCCAAAAACAGTTGTGGGCACAGGTCTCTGCTACTATTATTTTGTGAGTCAAAAGCTGAAAGGTTTGGGAACCACTGCACTTTGGTTCCCAAGGTTGGGCTTGGGACCCAAATTATGGGTCATGAAGCACCTTGGATAATCTCCAGAAATCATTTTAAAGGGTAATAAAATAATTGCTGATGTAATATTTTTCCTATAACTATTACAAAAACACAAAATAAGTATAAATAAGTATTTATATTTGTGTACAAGCTGTTTAGATTGTCAAAAAGCCTGTGTTTTTAGGGTTATTAACAAAATTCGTGTACTCAAACCAGTAATATTTGGGGTCACAAGTTTTTCCATGAATATTTTGTGGGTCAGAAGATAAAAAGTTTGAGAACCTCTGGTATAAATTGTGTACTGAAAAGACTTGCAGGAAAAAATGCTAAAGATTAATCCTGTGATGTCATCAGCTGTTTGCTGTAAGGATGCACCGATATGAAAATTTTAGCCAATTTCGATATCTGATATAATTCTTGCTGTTATGGCCGATAACTGATATTTATCGACATTACACAAACACACAAATTATATTGTACAAATACGCACAAACACACACGGGTCTTTTTTTTTTGATACCGTAAATAAATGACCAGACCTCTAACATGACTCCCTACTTCAGTTATTCCTGGCTTCGCAGCATCAATACCACTTTTATGATCAAACAGATGTGGCTCAACCAAACATCTCCCCTCCGAAAACAGAAACTAAAGCTAAAAAGTGGGAAATCAATATCGGACGTTAGTATCGACCCAGTTTTACACGTCGGACCAATACCGATATCAATACCGCAATACCGGTATATGGTGCCTCCCCAGTTAGCTGAATGATTTTAAGAAAAAAAATCGTAGAACTTYAGCTGTGATTGTATGAAATTGGTTAACTGTATCAAAACGCCAGTTCTCACATGCAACATTAAACTATTTCTGTTGCGTTTACAATTTAAATATTGTTTCTAACGTAATGTCTGTCTGATCCGTATGGCTCCAAAGAGGGCTGGGTTTTCTCAAGGCTTTCGCCAAAACTCCCAAACATCTGCATTGTTTTTGTTTCTGTGTACTGCTACCAAAAGTCATACCACACTGATCCTGATCAAACAGTTTATATATATATGTGTATGTATGTATGTATGTATGTATATGTGTGTGTGTGTGTGTGTGTGTATGTATATGTTTATTGTTTGTTTGAGGGTATTCACTGGGACCCATATAGTCACTTGTACCGTTTTAAATGCTTGATATTTTTAATAAAATAAAAGCCTCGAGGGCAGCTAAACGGACACCAGGTTGCTTCACCTCCACTCGCTGCCAGCATCCGGACCCGTTTGCCAGAAATTCCACCTCCTCAGCTGGTTTCCCTCCGAGGGAAGGGAGCGTTTGATGTGGAGCACGGCGAGGCACGCAGCGGGGAGGAACCATCCAGCCCCGACTAAACTCAAACCAGAGGAAGGAGAGAAGTTTTCTGGCTTTTCACGCCAGATTCCACGTCTTTGTCGCCAGTCCTCGCTGTGATCCGGCTCTGCCGCGGCTTCCATCAATCGTATCTCGCTCCCAGCAGACTCCTGCGCTCATTAAGGACATGAACCTGTTGGCATCCTGCACCCCCCGCAGCCATTCATCTTCCTCGGCAGGGAGCGGAGACTCGCATCTGGAGCTGCATTTCTAAACATCAGCAGGCACTTAGTGGTACGCAGAAGCATTTTAACAGGAAATTAAACCTCAAGTTGATCGTTTGACTCGCAAACATGAAATGGTTTGTGAATTAACTGGAAAAAAGGCAGAAAAGAGCAGGTGCAGTATTGAAAATGAAAGCCTARGAGGGTGTTTTGTGTTGTTGTGAATGAATTGCAGCTTCGTGCTGCAGACTGACACAGCTGTAGTGAACCTCGGGTTTAAAAATGGAGACGGGCTTGACCCAACTTATTATTTATYGCGAGGACTGGAATAAGTGCTGCTTTTATAAACACAGATCCTCCTGTGAGGCGATCGCCGCACCGTTTAATTGCTTATTTTGTTTTGTTTCCCTCGATCTCGACTCGAATGCAAGTGTTTTGGGTCAAAACATAATGAAATGAAGCGGCCTCATTCCTGTGGCGTGTTCTGGACGTCATCACATCCTCCACATTGACTTCAACAACACAACCCAGTCAGCAGTGAGATTTTGTAACATTTGATCACTTCTACATTATTATGAATAAATACGAAGTGCACGTGAATTTAAAGTAATGTTACGGTATTTTTTAACATAATTAATAAATCTGTCACTACCATAGATGGCAAGTGTGCCACAGTGAAGATGTAGCAGAGAAAGCAAAGACCTGAGCTGTCAGATATCCATGTTAGGGTTGGACGATAAATCGATTTAATCGATTAATTCGAATTTGCCATTTGTGAAGATTTTATTTTAGGAAAATCTGCTTTTTTTTCCCCCATCAGTGCACTCTTTGGGGCTTCTGTAGTTCAGGGGTCACCCACCTGCTCAAGACGCTGAAAAAAAATGCCCCCTCCCACACCAAAAAAAAAAAAAAAAAAA